AAGATTAGAAATTAAGCAATGTTGAATAGGTAGGCTTGCTTTAGGAGCTCATGGGAATACCAAATCAGGGAGTGCAAGGTGATATGGGATGGACATCATTTCAGGGCAGGGAAGCTAGCAGCAAGATAAAATTTGAGAAGCGATTGAGAGAAATGGGGGAGGAGCGTTGGGCTAGGAAGGTTTTCAGCTACTTGTACATAAAGAATGTATATACAAAATGGAGGAAGCTAAATAAGAAATTGACTGGTAAATACTTAGAAAACAGCAGGTGGCCAAACCAAAAAGAACTAACGATTAAAAAGAAAGTGAAGGAAACGGAGACTGACATGCGGAGAATCGGCATGATTAAGAAGTCCGCACTAGAGATCTATCGAACTTTTAAGCAGGAAATTGCCAAAGAAAGGATCTATGATAATACTCGGGGTAGTTTTCTACTCTTTGAGGCCAGGACGGGAGTATTGCGAACCAAGACATATCGTGCCAAGTACCAAGGGGTAGACACAGTATGCGGTGCGTGTGGAGAGGAAGAAGAAATTGCCGAACACTTGATAATGTTCTGTGAAGGGCTTCACCCTATAGTTCAGAATGATGGCGCAGAGTTTTTCAAAGCACTGGGGTTTAGGGACAGGTAGGGCAAAATAGACTTTAAGCGGGTAGAATTAACTAGAAGATGGTTATCTTAGACAAGAAGGACAAGAAGGACACGAGCGCTTACTTCCAAGTCAGTTTATTGCGCAGAGCTGAAAATATATAAAGGAGACAGTAACCGTGTGACAAAAACCATAAGGCACAAAAACTTGCAGGCACTGATAAAATTTTACAGACAGTCAAATCAGTCTAATGTTTTCGGTTTTTCAATTGACATAAAGGACCTATACTGCATGTATCATGTATCCATACGATACGCAGCGTCGCACCGCTAGAACTGCTCTAAGGGACAATGCACCAAAACGGCACAAAGTGCTGTGAACGCTGGCACTGGCACGGTGGGAGAACGATGAGAACAGCAACCCAAACAAAATAAAGGAAGCTTGGTCTCACATCTCGCTCGATACAAGGTTAAAAAATGTAATATGCATAGATTTTCTTTGCATGTTTTAATATTACTGGCAACCTTCATACTTCTATTCAGGCAACAGATTGCACTAATTACACATGTCGCCTCGAATAATTCTCGCCGTGTCACATACTACCTTGACGTGCGCAAGACCATTCTTTGTTTTATACGTCACTTCCAGCATGTTGGGGTGCATGCCCGCGAATTGAAGGTCAGGTGGCGTTCAGTGTGAAATTTCACAGCTTCCCGAGGCGTATAGCATAGCAATTCTTGGCAGATGAGATCGTGAGCGCCCAGTGCATGCGTCCTCTAGCCTGCCCGAAATTTTCAAACATGCGGAAGGGCCCTTTATTGTTTTCACAGAGAGAAGAGAAATTGACCCTGTGTGGTTAGACCAAGTTATTACGAGGCAAAAAGACCCTTCTGGCCTTTTAGCGCTCAGGCTATTTGTTCCTGTATTGCTATTCTCAGCCATGCCAAAAAGAAAGAGACCCAGGAACATGTTTATTCAATGGTGCATACTTATCTCACCATGCTGGACTGTAAAATGTGAGGCTCTTATCTGCTAACAATGCGAGAAAAAGAAATTGCATGGCTGTGCTAAACCACAAGCGCTTTTGTACATAATAAAGTAAAACATTTCTGTTAGCACTCCTCTTGTACACACAGCTCCCACATGTGGTTCTTCCAAAACAAATTTTATCAAAATTTATTGTGCTGATGTTTACAATTTCGGAGGACTAAAGTGTCTTGCCCGCCTAGCCTATTTTTGGTGCCCGAAAACCCAGTCTCCAGTGCCTAAAAATTCAGCCACTAGTTATGAGGGCTCATAAAGGAGTAAGGTCATTTTTTTAAGAAAACAACACAAAATATATTCATCAAGAAGTGCCTTGGATGAGTTGGCGGTGAAAGGGGGTCAAAGCCTTGCCTTATGTAATTCGTGCCTTTAATCAATATATATTGAAATGGCATATGAATGATGCTGCTTTGGAATGCGAGTAAGTAGAAGTGAGCATAAAAGAGAATCCAGATAAGGCTGAGAGTATTAAAAATGAGTAGATACAGTATAACCTCATTATAACAGACGCCCATAGTGAAGAGAATTTTGGTGCCTTGTAAAAGGAGTATGTAAAATCCAAGTACTGTTAAAATAGACTTTTATAGAAATGCTGAATGGGTCTGTTATAACAGGAGAGAATCACGAGTCATGTCGAATTTTCTCAGTGGTGCATAAAAAAGTTGACTTCTCGGAAATCCTTGTTCAGTGTCTGCAGCCTTTTCACTATTCGATTTCAAAATACGTTCACTGAAAATTACATAGAATTGCTGTAAAAAGCTTTTTTGCGCTTGCCGAAGTGTTAAAAATCATCGTGGAACTCGCAAAAAAAAAAAAACGGCGTTATTCAAAAATTAATAGCTTCGCGATGGCACAACTGCCCACCACCGTTTTGGGCTCGTCGTAAAAGCATTTTGTATTCCGTGTTCAAAAAGCAGACGTGTGAAATTCATTTGGAGGATTCCTAATGACTGCTTCTCCTGTTTTGCTTCATGGAGTATGCCTCACTAGTGCGATGCTCGTTCTGAAGACGTCCCTGGGATAACGTCGTCTGCTTCTCGTGAATCGCGCGGCTGCCTAAAAGCCCACAACTTAGTGACATTTTTGCGCTCGTTCTGTATTCACGGGTTGTTAAGGCAGCTGCAAGGGGAAGTTCAGACTTAAGGTTACGATCGCGCGCCGTACTCGTCGCGAACATCGGACGTGCGCGTCTCAATCCGATTGTGATAGCGTTGACTCGTTGGCGAGAAGATTCTGCTTATCAGCGCTTCAGACCCTGCTATGAAGACCACCACGGGACAGATCTTTGTACTCGCAATCGAGCATGTGGTACTTTGAAACATCGAGCACCGCAGTCATGTACATCGCAGCCGCGCTTTCTGCTCAAAGTCATGGCCAGGCCTAACTACGCCCTGAACTTGGCAGGCAAGGCTGTCGCGCTAGTGGATATGTCAAAAGCGAAGAAGCCGTAATGTGTTTCGTCACAAGGCGCAAATCACTAGAATCATAAATCTTGCGCATCGGTAGCAGACCCAAGCCGTGCTCGCCACGCACCGACTGCCCGGAACAGCGGGGGCAACGGCCAGCAGTTTTCCGCGTCAGCGCGCCAACTTGCAAAAACAAGCACGATGCACCCCAATTTCCGGCGACGAAGCTTGGCGTAATTAATCATTGTCAGACTGGACGGATATCGGTGGGCTTTGTCCTTAAATTGGTACGCCAATATCAGCGGTGCTACCACCGTCCCGAAAATATGCCACACAATGCTACACGAAAAGTTACAAAATTTAGGATGTACATGGCAGGAAAGTCTGCTGTAAAGAAGTCCTGACTGCCTTGCAGGTCTCAGTGACATTTTAGTCAAATATATTCAAATGTCCGTTGTACCAGAATCCCTGGTAAACGAAGTTCAACCAATAAAACAATTAGAGAGGTCAACATAATGCGACCAATCAGTATGTATTAACCCAATGTCTGTTGTAAGCGGATCTGCTGTAACGAGGTTATACTGTATGACCATAGGTCGACAAAGAACAGTGGAACTCGCTCAGTCTCACTGAAGAAATATATCTTGCTTTTTGGACTCACTCACGCTCCAAGTCACAAAATTTTCCTGACTTGAACTCACTTCGATTCACCTTCACAAATTTTTTTTCAGCCGGACTCACTTGGAGTCAAACTCACCAAAATATTACTCAGGCGTACTCACTCAGACTCACGGCTCAATCTGAGTTTTTGTGAGTCGGCTCAAAAGTTAGTTCCCCGACCTGTGGCGAGTATGCGTATGCTCGATCAGGTGGTCGTCTATTGAAAAGGGTGAGTAGCAATGGTATACACTTTGTGCGGGGCACCTTCAAAGGCGTGCGCAGCACAACTTGTGGTGTTGCGGGTGCGCAACATTGGGAGTCTTAGCAGACTGAAACGCCTGATTGCTTTGATAGCTATGATGGCGCAAGCGCCCGTAGCCGGGGTGTTAGTGCGTGCTTCGAGCAGAACTTAAAAATATCGCAGGGCGACAATCTTCCGCGATGCCACCATAAATAAATAGAAAAACCTGCACGAAATCGGCCACGTTTTCCGCTTTAGTGAGCGCCTCGCTCCCGTCGCCAGGAATGACGGCTAAACGCGTGCGTCAGGTGTGCGTACTGCATGACGCTTGCTGCATAGCTATCACGGCAAGCTGTCATTCTTTCGAACTTAAATTATCATTGGTGCTTGCCCACTACCCGCGTACTTGCGAAATACTCGGAGCGTTTAGAAATATCGAAGGCTCCACGGCCACTCGCCGTGAAAATTGGCATGCTCGTTTGTTGTGGCATCATGTACGGCAATTTTCAGCTGCTGAGTCTCGTGAAGGGCTTTGCTTGAAATCGTTGCGGCATCGTTGTCGCTCATCATGATCATAGTTTTACCTCACCGCTCGCGCAGCTCATGCTAAACTTGAGGCGCGGGCGAGAAAGAGAACACGAGAAGATTTATTCCAGAGAGGACGGCGCATGCTCCATTACATCTTTCGCTTCACCTGTTGAAGAATCAAGGAAAAAGGCTTTTGATTGAACTAAATTTGAAGGATGGGATTCATCACTCCCGGCGGATATTTACTTTGGAGCTACAGCACTTGGTTTTAGACACAGGAGTGTTTGCGATGCCATATGTGATTTCCTACGCCAGATGAAACGACTTGAATTGTAGGGTTGTGTAAGTGAAACTTATTCTTCAATGACATTACGATTTTTTTCATGAATTAAGCTAATTAGTTATTTAGAAAATGATCGATTGCTAAATATCTTTAGATTTATGAACAAGATCATTTATATAACAAGGCACTGCCCATTTCATGGCCGATTCCCCATGGTTCCTTCCACCAGTTTAATAAGGACCAACCAATTAACTGACATCCTAGCTTGATCCTACCGAGTGCGCATATGCTGCTGGGTGGCTACTTGTGCTTACAGTAAAATGCTATGTAACTCAGTTTGCCCTTTCACTGATTGACCCATCAACTCAGGAAAGCACTAATTGACCTCGCATTGCATTCCTCAAAACTGCAAACGATATACGGCGAGGTAGTAATTATTAAGGTCTATTAAAACGTCACATCAGCCTTGATCTGAAGTAAAATTTTTTGAAAGTATTTCTTTTCTCACCAGCTCTATGACAGCAGGAACGTCACGCAAGATCATCGCACCTGCAGAAGGTGTCTCAGACCAATTAAAGCACGCATTGGCGGAACGCGAGACGGCAGAGGGAATGGGAACTAGACACTTTTTATGTGTTCCACAGCCGTGATCCACTTATTTTGCTGCCCAATAAAGCAGGGACAAGTCGAGAAACTATGAAACTTCCTTCCCAGAGGACACGACATGTACCTGTTGATACAATCGACTATGCAGCAGTTCACGATTCAGATAAACTTCGTGCTAGCGAACGTTGGGGGAGTGTTTTGTCTGCTCGGGCTCTCAACGTTTGTCTTCTCTGATGGCTGCCTGGCGGCGCACCAGTCTCAGAGCACGGAGTCTATAAGAAAAGAGCCACTCTTCTTTGTTCATGTGCATGTGCCCAATGAGGTGGCCTTTTATTGAAAAGAGAATACATTGCTGTGGACACCCAAGGGACCCTTTCCTGCCTAAGAATGCCTGTCTCTAATGAGTCCGCATTTCACTGAATATAATGCATTGCAGTAAACACAGGAAAATGGACCCACTCTTCTGAGCAGGCAGATGTGTCTCAAGAAGATCTCTTCCAAAAAGTATGCGTCAGAGAAGAGACAGGAATAGGGCAGCTATCGAGTGTGCATGCGGATGTGTTTTACAAGCTGGATTTTCCACACAAAGGATGCATCGCAGTGGACGCAAGAAAATGGACGCTCTTCTGTGTGTTTTTACATGTGTAGAGCGAGGCTGTCTTTCTTTACAAAAGATTCACTGCAACAGATACACAAGAAAATGGTCGCTCTCTAGTGTGCTTGCGGATGTGCCTATTGAGGGAATCTTTATGTACAAAAGAAGCATTGCAGTGGATACAGGAAAATGGACGCTCTCCAGTGTGCTTGCGGATGTGCCTCATGAGAGAACTTCTCCAGGAAAAAGAAGCATTGCAGTGGACACAGAAAAATGGGCGCTCTCCTGTGTGTGTGCGGATGTGTCTTTTGAGGGAGCTGTTATGTACAAATGAAGCATTGCAGTGGACACAGGAAAATGGACGCTCACCTGTGTGAGTGCGAATGTGCTCAGTGAGGTGGCCTTTCATCGAAAAGGAAGCATTGCAGTGGGCACAGGAAAATGGCCTCTCTCCTGTGTGAATGCGCATGTGCTCATTGAGGCGCATTTTTATAGAAAAAGATGCACTGCAGAGGGTGCAGGGGAAGGGCCGATCTCCTGTGTGGGTGCACAAGTGAGCCCCAAGCTTGGACTTGTACATGAATGCTGCTGGACAAAAGTGGCACTGGAAGGGGGGCTCGCCCATGTGTTTCGGAAGGTGTCTGCTCATAGTTGATTTGTCCACGGTCACATAAGTGCACTGCTGGCAGGAATGAAGTCGGCTTCGTACAGATGCCAGTGAAGAAGACCGTTCCAAGGAGACACAAGACAGGAAGCCTGAAAAGCCATTGAGAGCCCACAAAGCAATGCAAATTATGTGTCACACACTACATGGAACTGCACTACAGCGGCAGGCAATACACATGGGCAGCTGTGCATGCAAAATATATTGATGTTCCCCTCATCTCACTAAGGCTACTATTATGGCAATAGGGCACTATCACAGCAAGTGCTACAATGATTCCCATCTGGCTACGGATAAATTCTATGGTAAACACATAACACAGTGTGCCAAAAACTAGAATACAATTTAGTTCCGATTCCATTCCTATGTATATTGCAAACGTCTAAAGTGTCTGAATGTGCACAAATCAAAACTAGCCCATTAAACTGCTTACTGAAATTCCGTTTGTGGAGAAGTATTCACAAAACACTGCACAGAAATCACCACTTTCTATCGCAACACATCAAGCATAGTAAAAAATATGAGTGAATTATGTTTATGTGATGTAATGTGGAACAAAAAAACATCATGCATTTATGCACAACTGCAGCAACTGTTTATATATTACTGCCACAGTTAACACATTTTCCACTAACGTCTCTGTACCGTTTCAATGAGAGCACTATGATAAGCAGGGGACACAAAGTCATTTACGAACCATTAGTTACATCATGCAGTATCAAAACAAACTACCACTACTGAACGTTGCCGCATTTTATCTGCATAACTATTTTCCTTAGTATGGACAGATATGTAAAAACAAAAGGATGTATTATTAAGTGTTTAGTCTGGACCATGAGACATTCGTAAACATGATGTGTGTCCTGTAGCCGAAGTTACGGCAAGTGGACTTGTCGTTTTCAAGGCTGCAACACCCACACTGTGTTTACGAATTTTTAACCACAAGCTTCTATCTTACCCTTTTCGCTCTTCATTGGACTTCTCGTCCAAATCATTGATTTGTTGTACAAGCAAAATTTCTTCATCTTAACAATTTAAATTTAAACAATGTAGTAAAATTTTTTACTTGTTCAATTTTGATTGCATTATACACAAACATTGAAAAAAGAATATTACTAGTAAATCGCATACGTTTCGATTCCGAAAATCTGGAGTAGCAGTCCAGACATGGTCACATGAGAATCACAAGTTCGAGTTCATAATGAATTAGGCTGTAATTTAAGGTGGAAAATGGTAAAAAAGTTTTAAGAAGCATCTACTTCAATGCCCGTATGGCAATGTCCAGAGGATGTATTTATTGGGTGATAACTTATAGTAATGATAGTGAATAATTTTTGTGGTATGTACAAAGACTACGATAAGATTATAAGAGATGCCATAGTGGAGAACTCCAAATATTTCTACAACCTCGAGTTCTTTATTGTGCATCTAAATTTAAGCACACCAGCCACAAGAATTTTCGCCTAAATTAAAAGTGCGGACACCATAACAGGGAATCGATACCAGGGCTTGCAGATAAGCAGCCCAGCACGAAGACCACTAGGCCACCCAGGTGGGTGAGGAAGAGTGCAGGCATTAGCAACAGCCAAATGACTGCTGTTAAAGTGATCACGAAACACAACAACGGCTTCAGTGAAGTAGTGGTGGGGCTGGGAGGGGACAAAGCAGCCGGCGTCACAGGTGCAAGTAACCCCCAGGTGCAACACGCTCAAGCTGAAAAGTCACAGCATGTGATAATCGCCGGGGACTCGAATTTAAATCGATGCACAGAAGCCATCAAAGAGAGGGTAAGAGGTGACAAGAGGGTTGCAGTAGGGGCGTTCCCAGGACGCAAGCTGGAAGCAGTCACGAGGCAAGCGAGCACAAAACTCAAAACTACAGCTGATAGACGAAACCTCGTGATAATTTCAGGCGGTTTAAACGATGTCCTAAATGAAGATGCAGCAGCACTAGCAGCCACACTGGCGAAAGGCGTCGATGACATGCGCGCCACTTCTCCTCAGCTAAAGGTAGCGATATGCCCGATACCTGAGGTACCGGTGTGTGATAGCAACCTGCAAAGAGCGGTTGTCAACGCAAACCAAGAGATATGGCGGATGAGTCGAGAGAAAGGCTTTGAGGTGGTGGAAATAAACAGAGAGGTGCATAGGTGGGGTGGTTTTCAACGAAAAGAATTCACTTCAATGGGCGGCTAGGTCATGAGGTGGATTGGCGACTTGCAGGACGCGCAGTAGCTTTTTTTGGGGGGCAAGCGAGCCCTTCGGGGTGCAGGATAGCTAGTAACGAGTAAAACAACCAGGAAGACTCTTTGACAGGTGGTATGGACAGATACGATTCCAAAGTGGCACCATGTTATGCCTGCGAGTCCGCAGCAAACGTCCGTGCCTCTGAAAAAGGCAATCTCTGTCAAGGCCAGTCCGCAAGCCCGCCTGACACGAACAACTCAACGGCGTCAACACTCGACGGCGCCTTTCTGGCGTGCACGTGCAGTGAGTCACCTCAGCCCGCGAGCCCGTCGAGTAAACAACCGGCGTCTTCCTGTCTGGCGACTGACGCAATGCCTAGCGACGTCACTCGTCCTTGGGTGCAGCCACCTGCAGTGCAGCCTCTCCAGATTCGATGAGAAAGAATGACGTGGCCCAGCGGCAACCCCCATTGGAGGAGTCTGACCTCACGACCAGCGGCGCTTCTGGATGGACATTTGGGTTGGACCCAGTGCATATAAAAGAAGCCCTGCGGCGTGTCGCGAGCAGTCCTATTTGAGAGAAGACCTATGTGTTAGAGAGGAGAGCTCAGCTCTTCGAGTCTCTGTCGGCCCCAGTGCCGAATTTGTAACGCCTCTGTATATATGCTGTACATAAACCTTGTTTAACTCACCGTCGTCTCGTCCGCTCGTCTATCAGCTCTGCGCAGAAGCAGTCGCGAGCTGAGAAACCTACGCTACCAAACGGTTGGTGACCTTCCCTGCGGAGTTCGAAGCAGTGGCGCCTTCGGGACCGTGTTGGCGTAGCCGTCTTTCGAAACAGTGGTTGCAGCGGTGGGATTTCGAGGCGCCCTTCGTAACGTCCTCGGAGGCGCGCTTCGCAACAGTGGTTGGCAGCTGCGGGATCGGCCGGCGTCAGCGACATCGATGCGGTGAGTGCCTGATGTTTTCCCCTCAGTTCACCAGACTACTCTAGCTCAGGTTGTAGTAGTTTAGAGAAGGGCTGTGTGAAGCATTGAAGTGAACTTTGATCGTTTCAAGCCAAGTCGAAGCGCTTTGAAACCAAAGTTAATGCGGAGGGGGTAAACACGGAAGTGTGAAAAATTGCTTGAGCGTCTTGCTAGTTGACTTATAGTGGGTACGGCAAGTAAATTGTTAACAGGGGCAAACAGCAAGAGGCTAGTGTGAACGATGGAGAACCTTAAAGTGAAGGAACTCATCGAAATTTGTGAGGAACTCGGGATTACTTTGGGCCGTGCAAATCGAAAGCAAGTGGTCCTTGAGATCATGAAGGATGAGGGAGTGTCGGCTGAGGAAGTCGATGAGGCCTGGGTGGATATCAAAGCACGCCGTGAGGAGGCTGAAAGGCGAGAAGTAGAAGCTCGCGAACGTGAAGAAGCTGAAAGGCGAGAAGTTCGCGAACGTGAAGAAGCTGAAAGGCGAGAAGTTTGCGAACGTGAAGAAGCTGAAAGGCGAGAACGCCGCGAGGAGGCCGAGAGACAGGAGCGCCTCGAGTTGAATTGAATAGAATTGGCAATCCTACAGTGTTCGCAGGCGCCTAGCGTAGCTTCTCCGACGATTCAGGTCAGCGGTTTTAGAATTCGGGACCAACTGCCACCGTTCCTAGTAGGCGAGGACATGGCGAAGTATCTCGTCAAGTTTGAACACGTCTGTGAGCGAAACGCTTTGGAGCGGTCTCTTTGGGCGCGGAACCTGTTAGCTTTTCTTCCCGGCGAAGTGTCCGACGCGATAACTTGCTTGTCGAAGGAAGCGTTTGAGAGCTATGACGAGGTTAAGAAAGTGCTCTTGAGACGTTATAAGTTGTCACCCGAGGCTTTCAGGCAAAGGTTCCGGTATGCTAAAAAGGGGAATGAGTCACAAGTTGACTTCGCGTTTCCTCTTAAAGCCGATTTAATTGAATGGCTCAAGGGCGAAGGTGTTTATGACGACAGCGATAAAGTGGTGGAATGCGTTGCATTGGAGCAATTCCACCGCTGCATCGAGGAGGATGTCAAACTTTGGCTGCAGGATAAACTTGGTGAAGTACAGCTAAACAAGGCAGCAGAGTTAGCTGAGGAGTATTATACTCGCCGAAAGTTGCACAGCAGGGCAGTGCGCGTTGAAAAGGATGAAAGAAAAGAGGGCTTTTCAAAGAAACCTGATCAACGGAAACCCGCTCCGCACCGTAATTTCAAGAAGGACCCATCTCTTACGAAGGACAGTGTAGGGGAAGGGCAAACAGAAGCGGAGAAATCGAGTGAGGTTCCTAAACAACGCACGGATACCACACGGGCGTTTGAATCACGGAAGCCACTAATCTGCTACAACTGCAAAAAGGAAGGAATCATCGCGATAAACTGTAAGCAAAAGTTTGCTTTTGCAACAATCCGAGAATCGGAAAAGAACATGTAGTTGTTTGAGCCGTATATTCAAGAAATTAGTGTGAATGGGCAAACGTGTCGAGCACTTCGTGACTCAGCGGCAACCATGGATGTTGTCCATCCTTTATTGGTGTCTCGGGATGACTTTACAGGAGAATGCGCGTGGATCAGGCAAGTCGCCGAGGAGCAGAGTGCTTGCTTACCAATCGCCACGGTTGTCATTGAAGGCCCGTTCGGTAAGCTTCGCACCGAAGCGGCTGTGTCTGCCGCGCTTCCCAATCGTTTTCTTTATCTTTTCTTCAACAACTCAGAGCAGCTTCTCAAAGAGCAGGGTAAATCGTTCTTCCCCAACTTAGCGTACATGGCCCTCACGCGATCGCAAGCGTGGAAGCTTTCGCAGGAGCTTGATCTTGTTCAATGCGGTAAACTCTCAAGTGACTTTGTCGGCGGGTCGACGGAACCTCAGAGAGGAAATTTTCCGCGCGAGTCATGTGAGCAGTCACGCGAG